CTTAGTAATATAAACTTTTAATAACTACTTTTAAAATCTAGCAATGGAACAATGGGTTAATTATTTAAAACTTAGATAGGTAGGTATGACCTACTGAGTTGTGTTGCTCACACATATTCTGCATAATGTTACAAGTCAAGTTAGAGTAAAGAGCCAAAACAAAAAAAAAGTTTGAGTAAAGAGCCAATTAAGTAGCCAAGGTTGCAAATTTTGATTGGGCTCAGTTGTATAGGTATTTGATAATTTGTATAGTCTTTGTTATGTTTTATTTAGTTCGATTTTGTTCTATAGTCATGCACTATAATGTGTAGATTTTATTTGTGTGTGATTGTGTGTATGAGGAAAGGAAAAGGAAAGAATTGCGTACGAGTTTATTTCAATGTAATGGAAATTCAATTATAGCTTTATTGTCTATTTTTAATTTAAAGATATTTAAAAAGTTCTCCAAAACTTAGATCTTGGGCTTGGTCTATCACCATCTAACATAATGACCCATTTTATTTGTGGGTCTTGTTTGATTGGATTATGGTAGGAACTTTTTGGTATCAGAGCAGTTGTTTTGGAGAATTGATTGTAAACATAGATATAAAATGGATCTATAATGGAGTGAGATAGTTATGTGTAGTATTGAGCATTCATTTTTTCTTGTTTTCATGTGTATGTTATGTTAAGTTGTGTGCCACCTATTTGAGTGAATAATGGATATACAAGGCCTAAATATAACAAATGAGCATAGTGCTAATCAGGTAGTGCTAGCACAAATAACTACTCTTATTGTCAATTTTAATTTTATTTTTTAGTTTATCAGTATAGTGGCATAATTGATGGGTGATGCTTAGAGCATGATATCCTATTTCAGATCTGATGATATAGAAAAGCACTTGTATATATTTCTGAGGTTGAAGCCTTTGAGTTTTGAGGCAGTTGTGCCAAGAGTAGTAGAGGATAAGTTGATGATATTAGGAAAGACTTTTGATGGGATATAATGTCCTCCCTAGAAGAATGTACCTCTAGTTATATTTTTTTTATATAAGGAGGCTATGCACTAGTAGTTGGTCCAACTAAGGGAGAAGTTTCAGGGAAGGTTGAATTCATTGATACATTTGGAGGAATATATAGATATCTTATGGTCATAATTTTGTTCTTTCTTTTGCTCAATAATAAATACATGAGACTTTTTTGAGATTGGTGTAGAAGAGCATGTTCATTATATTGTTTAAGATAGATTACACTACTTTAGCCAGATATGCTTTATAATTGGTAAGCATTTTTGAGGAGAAGTGTTATAGATTTTTTAAGAGGGCTCCAAGACAATTTGAGGAAGTTGTTGGTTCTATTTTGTATCACTAACTTTTTAGAGCTAATGGAGATGATCCATTTAATTGAGAATGATCTGTTATCTACTTAGTAGCATTTAGCTGCTAGTATAAATAGGTTTGCTAGTGAGGCTTTTGGTAATATTTTTCTAGGAAGAGGAGTCGATTTAGACCTAAAAATTCAAGGATATATGGGCATCAGTTTCAGTTCCTAGTGATGTATTGTTTTCATTTTGGGAGGTTCTATGAGTGGAGCACTTGTGTACTAGAGCTGAGGTAGAAGACACTTGGGTTAGTGTTACAAGTTGATAGGCTAATACTTTCGATGTGGTTAGACAAAACACAAGGTAATTGAGTGTCCACATGTAAGACCAGATTAATATTTTGAGTCCGGTTCTAAGAGTTCTATTAAATTTATGGGATGACTAAGTGCAGCTTGGCCTCATGTGTTTACCAAGGGGTTGTCTAGTAAAGGAAATGGTTCAGGTTTTGTAGTAGGGAGGCTATTTGGGAGCGATAAGAGAGAGCCTAGTAGTTCAGTTATTTTAGCTCTAGTTCAAGCATATGTATATAGTTTGAAATAGCATGAGGCGAGGGGCACTCAGATGTGGTTACATGTATTACTTATATTTTTGATATGCCTTATCACATTTTATTTAATGTTGGAGCCGTTTATTCATATATATTTTTAGGAGTATTTTGATTTATTAGATTTCCTTCTATATTGTTGTTTACTTCCTTATCTATTATTTTGCTAACTTATGATGGTTTGGTAGCCAGTTGAGTATGCTTCTTTGTATAGAGATGTCAAGTATAGAATAGGAATCTTGTTGATATTATTGCTTATTTTTTAGTATTATGTTATTATGGGTATGGAATAGCTGAGTTAATATAGAGGCTAGAATAATTGTTAGAAGAATAGAGTCCCATTTTATTTGGGTAGCAAAAGCTACCTATTTTAGGGAGCTAGAGGAGTCCTGTCATGTGTGAAATCTGCTATGCAAGTAGATATATTGTGGAGAAAAGGGAGTATGGATTTACTAAATATCAAGTTGTTTGACTTTCAAATGCTTTAAAGCTATGAACTAATTGATTGCATAAAGAAATTTCCAATTCACTCATGTCATATTCACTTCAATTTCCATTCTAAATTTATATTTTTTCTAAGTTGTTATAGAAATGTTAAGAAAAAGGATTGGTTGTATTTTTTGCACTAATGTGTTTTGTGGCATGGTAAGGTGCCCAGATAGGATTATTTGTTGGCCATGAACTTTTCTTTATCTATTTATGATGAGAATTTCATGGTAATTAATGTCGTAATGGCTCATTGTACTTTAAACAAATATTGTTAGGATTATTAAGTCCCTCCTTATGAGGAAAATTGTTACTATAGTTTAAAAATGAATTTGAGAAAATTCACTTTGATGAAGTGGAATCATCTCTAGGTTTATATAATTCCTCTTATACACTCATTGTGTACTAGTTGTATATAGTGTATATATAAGGAGAATTTAAACATATTTTATGTACACTTGTACATAATTTGCTTATAATTTTTTATTGTATACGCATTGTGTATAAGTGTATGCAAAATGTATAGATTCCCTTTGTACACACACTGTGTACAAGTGTATGAAAAGTGATTGTAAATTTTCCTTATACACACATTGTGTACATAAAGTGCTTATAAATTTTTTCTATATACACACCGTGTACAAATGTACACAAAGTGCTTATAAATTCCTCTTGTACACACACTGTGTACAACTTATACATATAATGTGTATAAGTTCAAAAAGCATCAAAATAAATAAAATCATCACATAAATCATTTATATCATTATATCTAAGCTTTTAAAAAAGCATTAAAATGAACAAAAAATGCTCTTATATACACAATGTGTATAAGTGCAAAAACTATCAAAATGAACAAAAACACACCATAAATCTTTGATATTATCATATCTAAGTTTTTCACATATAATACACAATGTGTATGCGGAAAATAATCAATTTCTCCTATACACACACTATGTACAAGTTCAAAAAGCTTCAAAATGAAGAAAATCTCCACATAAACGAAAGAGGAAAAACACATAATAATTATAATTGAGAGAATAAATGAACTTTCAAAAAATTATCATTTAACATAAAATTTACATAGTTGATTTATAGAAGCATGCATCCTTTGCGACATTCGACATATAAAGAATTGAAGAATGCATTCGAGTCAATGTGTGAACCATCAAGGTGAACACAGTTCTATTATAGTTTCTTTTACGATAGGTTTCTCAGTTTAAAAAAATTAGGTAAGTAAAACATACACTGCCTCATAATAAACATTAAAAAATAATTATTATGTAAGTTATATCTTACTATTAGGTTTCTTCTTCTTCTCCTACTAGTTCATAAAATTTTACATAGTTATTGGACAAAAGCATGCCTCGTCGTAGCATTTGACATGTAAATAATTGAAGAATACACCCTAAATCCAAAAAAATAACACATTTATAGGAAATATAGTAAAACTTGGGAGGAGTTTAAAATTGACTGATGAGAAGTTCAAATGCAACGTCCTCCAAACCAGTTTCCATCTTCATCGATTGTTTCTCTTTTTTTTTTTTTTTTTGCCAGTAGATATTAAAAACTTTATTCCGCCAAATCTCTAAATATTTGAAAGTTTTTTGCGGGTTTCTTTCTTAAAAACATAAAAATGAACCCCAATTTAAAAATAGTAATAGTATGATTATATCAGATTATATATATATATATATATATATATATATTAAAGGCTAACCAGATTAAGAAATTCATGTTTCTTAAAAAATCATAATTTCTTAATCCGAGATTTTCATGTTAAGGTTTCTTAAGGAACCAAATTTCATAAATTTATGTAAAATATAAAGTATAAAGAATAAAAAATATAAAGTATACATTTCTTATATAAACTCACTAATCTTAATTAAAATTATTGTTTGATTAATGATAAAAAATAAATGAAATATATTTAACTAAAAATTAATGAATAAAAAATAATTTTAATCAAACAATAATTTTAATTAAAATGAAACTATTATGTATGATTTTTAATTTTGTGTTTGTCTTGTTGACACGTTTAGTATTATAAATATATCAATTAATAAAAACTATTATTTATTTAAAACTAAAAGAATTTTTTTTTTACAATATTAGATTTCATAAATATTTAATAAAAATTTGAATTTAATTTAAAAAAATACTAATATGCTATAATTAAAAAATAAGCAAATTAGTATAAATAAAAAATGAGAACAAGTAAAATTAATTTTATTTTATTTTTAAAAACATAATCAATTTTTACATTTAGTTAAAATAAAATATACGACAAAAAATTTATACTTTATATTTTAAATAAATTTATGAAATTCGGTTTCTTTTCAAATAAAAAAATAATTTATAGAAAAATTTAAGAATGTATATAAACATAAGAAGTAAATCAAATAAAATTTGATTTCGGTCAAAATAGAAATCGGATAATTATATTTGGATTTCAATAGAAATTGAATAATTAAGTTTTATATTTGCTCTTTTTTAATCTTTCCGTTAACTTACTTCTTAAACTAATTTAAATTTAAAACAGATTTCATTTTATAAAATACCCTATTAAAACTCTACATGTCTGAATCACTAGGAACGTAATAATTCTCCACCGAGAGCTCCTGAAAAGGACGGGAATAAGCTAGAGAAATGACTCGATACTCTCCTTCTCCCTCTCCTTCTTCTCTTATGTCGTTTTTCCTTCAACCTGTCCACGAATTAGCTCCGTAGCACTACTTTTTGTCAAAAGGAGGTTTTTTTTTTTCTTTCCTTCCATTGTGCTTTCTCTTCGGATTCGTATGGGCACGTTCTTTCTCTGATCCTTCGTGTTGGCGCCAAAAGAGCAGAGGATACGTCGTCTTCGTCTTAATTCGTTGTACATTGGATTCGTATGGGCATGTTCTTTCTCTGATCCTTCGTGTTGGCGCCAAAAGAGCAGAGGATACGTCGTCTTCGTCTTAATTCGTTGTACATTGAGCTGGAGAGATTGGCTGATGCGGAGCGGAGTCCATTGGATGTCCAAATGTTAGTTTCTTCCAAACCTGATTCCAGTGGCTTTATTGTTTGTTTCTTCTATTTATGATGGCAAAGAAGTGTTTTTTTTTTTTTCTTTCTGTTCCTTGGATTGATTGATAAAGCCCCGGAATCTTATGTTTGCATTTCTCTTGAGCCTGAAAGAGTGCTTCCTACTTTCAAAAGAAAGAAAGAAAGAGTGCTTCCGTTTCTTTCATCTATTGCTTGATTTCTGGAGATGGAGTCATTGTTAAGAAATTGAGCAATGGCGATTAGCTTATTCCTAAAGTATCCATTTTTGCTCACATTTTCGTTTGGGGTATGCTCAGTAACGTGATATTTTGGTTTTGTGGTGGATTGATTTTTTTCAACTCATTATCACATGGCCTTCGCGTGAGGTTCCCTCTTTTCTTTTCTTGTTTTTTCCCATCATTTTCTAGTAGTGCGAGATGGTTGTAGTGTGTTAGTTTCTCACCATCACCATATAATGCCAAAGATCCAATGATTTCCATGTGATTTTATTTGATTAGAGCTTTTAAAATCCAATTTTATTTGATTAGCCTCTCTAGTGATGAACAGAACAAGCTGAGATGATTATCTCCTTTCTACTTGAATCTGCTTCATTTCTAAAATTGCCATTGTTCCATTTTGTGAAAAGGAACATTATTCATTTATTTGGGTAGCAGTTAAAGTTTTATGTGGTCCATTGCTTATAACTGAAGCACTGATGCAATGAAGGATGATCATGTATTACAGAGTAATGCTTGGTTGAGGGAAACAAGATGGCAACATTGGTCCCTGGTGTTCTTATCAAGCTACTACAGTACATGAACACAGATGTGAAGATTGCTGGTGAATATCGCTCTTCTCTACTTCAGGTTGTTAGCATAGTTCCTGCACTTGCTGGTGGTGAGCTTTTTTCCAATCAGGGATTCTATCTTAAGGTCTCTGATTCCTGCCATGCTGCTTATGTTTCTCTTCCTGATGAACATGATGAACTCATATTGAGTGATAAGATAAAACTAGGCCAATTTATATACGTTGATCGATTTGAGGCAGCTTCACCTGTACCGGTGATTCGTGGTGTGAGGCCACTCCCTGGACGCCATCCGTGTGCAGGAAGCCCTGAGGATCTTTTTGATACCTGTCTTCTTAGTTTCCTCAATGGCTCTAAGGGTACTGTTAACCTACCATTGACTAAAGATAGCAGCATCTTAGCCAAGGTAAATGGAACTGTGAAAGTTAGAGAATTAGAAAAGAAAAAGGCATCTCTTAATAGGTCTACTTCATCATCATCGAAACAGTCTCTGCATATTATTGTCGAGAAGAAGCAAACAAATCATGTGAAGTCAAGTTCACTGAGTTCAAGGTCAATCTCTTCATCCTCTACAAGTTCCCAGTCAGTACCAGTATCAGTTGAAAAGCTACCTAATGGAGTAAAGCAGCTGCTGCATCTCGTAGATGTTAAAGGAATGGAGAAGTCATCTAATCAAAGAATGAACTTGCTGGAGAGAACAAGATCTGCCGTCAAGGCAGCTGATACTGGCAGGAAATCATCTGTTGGAAATTCAATAGTAAACCAGGTGCCAGGTATTGAGCTGGGGCCTAAAGGCTTGAGGAAGAGTTGGGAGGGGAATAGTGTGGAGACAAAGGGAAGAGATTATTCAAATCCTAAGCCATCAAAGATTGAAAAGAAACCTGAAGTATACAGCTCTTCGGTGAGTATTCTTTGTTCTGTATGATTTGATTTTTTTTTTCCTGAAGTTAACTGAATAATAAGGGTTTTTGAGTCATAGACTAGTTAATATATGTTTGCAACAACATTTTGAAGGTCTTCTACAATTGCAAAGACCTAATTACCAATAGTTGCAATAGCTATTTTTACCAGAAGATTTGGTTATGTGTGGACACCGTGCATGCTCTGTGGACACATGGGAGTCATGTAAGCTGAGGAAAACTTATTAATACTGTGTTCTAGTCCCTGTTCTGATTTCAGTTATCTATTTTAATTATTTCCTTTCTGTTCTTCCTTTCTTCTGTTTTGAATGTATACTCTGAAACCTATGTGAAAGAAAATTTTTCAGCTTTAACAAATATTTTTTGAATGAAGCAAAGAATGCACTAAGAAGCTCAAATGCAGAACATATGACATGCTAGATATAGTGATGTGGAATACAGGGTAAAATAGAATAACCTTGCTCTGATGGTAGTGAAATTCATGTTTATCCGCTTTATTTTTTTATGTAGATTGTAAGATATTATTTTTCCATGTATGTTGTGATGGATAATATTGGTTTTTATATCTTAATATATGAACAATTGTTTTAATGAGATTACAAAGAAAAGAAACAGAAAATATATTCCCAAATATGTTAGAAATATTGCTAGATTTCCCTTTATCATGTAATCTGTCATGATTTGCAGAATCTTCGAAGGAAACCATTGTCAGTTGAGAGACCGGTGCCTACAGAAGAAAGAGAGGCTCAAAGCCCACTAAGAAAAGGCAATGTAAATGCTTTAGAGAATGTTGACTTGTCAGTGAAACAACGAGTTTCCACCATAAAAAAAACACCAGAGGCCTTTAATAGTAACAATGTTTCCTCTAGCAATTTAGTAAAGGTTTCCTACAATAGTAGAAGATTGACAGATGGAAACCTTTCGTGGTCATATCTTCCTCCAACTCTAGTGAAACTTGGAAAGGTATAACATGTGCTTTTTCTTGATTAGATTCTTGTTATTTTGTTTCCTAACTTTCCTACTTTTCTTTTCTATTTTGTCTTTTCTTTAACATATATTTTAGATATCTGGTACTTTCCATTACATTCATGTCTTACTATTTGTTACAGGAAGTTCTCATGTTTAGGGATGCTGCACAGCAAGCTGCTATTGAGGCACTGCAAGAGGCATCTGCAGCAGAAAGCTTAGTTCGATGCTTGAGGTAATCTGCCTAATTATGCCCAACATTAAAATTTTCTCTAGCCTATATGTTATCGTGATTTTCTTACCTTTGTGAATAGGATATCTTTCATCTACTTACTCAAGCTTAGTAAAGAGTATGATTTGATCCAATGCTTTAGACCATAAGGGAAAATGCATGATTGTTCTTCGTAAATCTCTTATGCCATTTCAATTGTTTTGGCAACCTACTGGTGACGGAATCTTATTTTCATATTTGGCTCCAACTGCCCTTTTAATGGTGAGCAACCCATATTAACGTTAAAAAAACGAGGGACAGTATGAATTTTTGGAAGAATGAATACTTATCAATAGATCTCCATAATGGGAAGACGAAGGATGATGTTGCAGTAGTTTAACTCTTATTCTTATTATTGAAGTTAGGAACTGCAATGAGAATGGATGTGTAGTTGGAGGTTCAAGGTCAAACATTTTTTATTTTTTCTGTTATAAATTGTACAGTTCCTATATTTAAATCTGTGCATTATATAATTTATATGTTAAATTAAAATTTTGCACAATTGCAGATTCAGCCACGGACGGAGTGCGCTGCATGTTGTTTGCAACCAGACTCTTTTGTTTTAGTTAGATCTCCCCTTTGTTTTTATTATTATTATTATTGGAATGAACTTCCTCAGGCTTTGGTGATGCCTTATTTTTATTTTCTAAGAAATGTTTGTTCTTTTTGCCAACTCAACTCGACATATTTTTAATATTATCTTCAAGCTCTTTTGCCCACCACCTCTTCATTCATCAAGCTTCTCTTATATGTATCCTGCATTGACTCAACATTCACTTCTAGTTTTATTAGCAAGGAATTTATTATATTTACTCTTTCAAGATTTGTTTTTGATCAGGTCCTTCCTTCACGTTTTCCTAGTATTACTCTTTTCTTTTGGTTTAGTAATTAGTAGTTTCCTGCATCAACTAGTTTGGCTTAAAAAATTGTTCTTTCTGTCTCTCCAGCCTTTACGCAGAGTTAATTTCAACAGCAATGGAGGACAAGGATCCACAGCAGGCTGTGGAAAAGTTCCTCACCCTCTATGCCATTCTCACCCATGCCAGCTTGGTCTCTGATTCCCTGCACAGCTCTATCGGCAGTGCCACCATCACCGACGACACAATTCGCATATCTGATGACAATCACCACCGTGCAGCCACTTGGGTCCAGGCTGCCCTCGCAACCGATCTCTCATCTCTCGCCCTTTACACCCACAAGTCCAAGTCCCCGCCCTCCGCTGCCACTTCAACTCACGTAGTTGTCGCGAAAGCGAACTCGGACTCTCAGGTGAAATCGCGAGTGAAGACGGTGAAGAAGCGGGTAACCGTGGCAACAACAAGGCGGTGGGAAAAGGGGGTAGGAGTCGAAGAGGGAGTGGAGCTGGCAAGAGCATTGGAGGAGGAAGCTAAGTACTGGTTTGTGGGATATGTGGAAAAGTTTCTGGATGCAGAAGCCAATGGAGCTGCTACACAGCAACCATGGGACCGGGACTTTGTCCCCGGAATGCTGTTTCAGCTTAAAAAGGTGAATGATTGGCTCAATGTGGTAAATATCAGAGATGGAGGATTACGAGATGGGGGTGTGCCGCCGGAGACAGTGGACAGGCTGAGGAAGAAGATATATGATTATTTATTGACACATGTTGAGTCTGCTGCAGTGGCACTTGGCTGCAGTGGCAGTACCGGTGCCGGTGGCAGTTTTCCGGCCATGGTGGAGGCTAGTGAGAGTCAGGGAAAAAGGATTTGAGTGAGACTAGGAATCTGGAGGAAGACAGTGGAACTACAAATGGATTGGAGTGGGAAAAGGAAATTTGGTTGATGAGAGATAGATAGATTATACTTGGGGCATGGATACTGGAGTTATATTTCTACATTTCTTAACGTATAACAAATTTCTAATATTTTCTAATATTTTCTAACAATCTTTTTAGGTATATTTCTACATTTCTTAACGTATAACAAATTTAATATATCTACACTCCTAGCATGGTCATCAAAAAGTCGACATTTTATGTGACTAAACCATTTAAGATGACTCTATCTAATCTTATCTACCACTGGAGCTACTCCAATCGTTTCATGTATATACTCATTTTACATTTTGTCTATAACAGTGAAGCTACACATCCACTTGAGCATCCTCATCTTTGTAACACTTAATTTTATTCTTCTCTTTTAATGGCCAACATTCCATGCCATAAAACATTATAAGTGTCAACAACATCTTATAGAATTTTACCTTAATTTTGAGGGGTACTTTCCTATCACACAAGCCCGATGAATTCCTCCACATCAACCATCCAACTTGAATTCAACTAATAATATTCTCATCTATTTCACCATTATTTTGAACAGTATACCCGATATATCTAAAACGTATACTCTTATTAATGACTTGATCCTCCAACATCACAATCCCCTCACTATATCTATTACGACTAAAATTATACTTCATGTATTCGATTTTAGATCTACTCAAATAAAAACCTTTAGACCCTAAGGTTAATCTCCATAATTCAAATATACATTCAACTCCTTTTCTAGTCGTATCAACAAGAAGAATATCATCAACAAAAGTATAAATTAGGGTATATCCTCTTGCAAATGCCTAGTAAGAACATTCATGACTAAAGCAGAAAGATACAGGCTTAAAGCTGACCCTTGATTTAATCCAATTGAAATAGGAAAATACTTAGTCAAACCACCTTGTGTTTGAACACAAGTAATAGCTCATACATACATATCCTTAATGACTTAAGTATAAGCATTATTAACCATTTTCTTTCCTAGAACTCTTCATAGAACTTATCTTGGAACATTATCATAAGCTTTCTTTAACTTAATAAATAACATAAACATATCCTCCCTATTCTCTCTATATTTTCTCCATCAAACCTCTCAATGAATGTATAGCTTCTATAGTAGACCTACCCGACATGAATCCAAACTGATATTGAGAAACATTAGTATCATCCAATCAAATAAATAAATTTTTTTTAAAAAAAAATTTTCCAGCAAAGCAAACAACCCCACATATAAAATATAAATTTTAGCATCAAATTTATAATGAAGATGATGTTTGGTGCTAAAATTATTTTTTGTGATATGTCACCCAAAATTGTCTTGATCGGGTACAAATCTTAAGACATATTCAAGTTGAAAACTTTCGAGATTAAATTCGATATCATTGAGACTTTGATCTCAGCAAACTTATAGTTAAACTAAACTTTTTGGTGAGACGAACCCAAAGACACTAAAATTGGTCTAATCTAAGCTCAAGTGGGCCCAAATCAAGAGACCAAAGCATATTCAAAAGCTTTAAAATATTAATTTGATAATTAAATGATCACCAAGTATAGCATGCTTATAATTACATCAAGTGGCTCAATGAGATGAGTCCAACAAGCCAAAGATTGCTTAATTCTGACATCATTAAGGCACTTAAATGTTGAACAAATACTCCATAATTGAGGGAATCAATATGGATCGTCCGATGGAGAGCTCTAAAATTGCTCTGTATCTTCTCCATATTATGGAGCATTTCATTTTAAAAAATATATCAATAGACCCCACTCTTTGCATGAAAGAGGGGGGTGGGGGGCTAGAGATTTATGAAAGCATTGGAGTTTGAGGAATCCCAGAGCCCCACCCGAGCCCCACCGTCGACGAACCCTCACTGCCTAGTAATCACCATTGAACTTTCTTAGGTCGATCGTCATCGAATGTCAACCTGGCCGCCACCACCAAACCCCCACCCAACCATCCCCATCGAACCTCTACCCAGTCATCACCGTCAAACCTCCTACTAGCCATAGTCGTTGGGCCTTCGTCTCTTGCCGACTATAGTCTCACTAATCTATATCATTATACTATAGTGCCTCCTAACCACCATCACCTGACTACAATCCTCAAACGATCTTTACTAGACTATGGTCCCACCAACAACTATTGTATGTCAATTACGATCTTTTCGACCTATGTTGCCCATTGATTACAGTCCTTCCGATCTCCATCTCTCGTCGACTACAATCCCTCTGACCATCGTCACCCGACTACAGTCTTCCCGAGACCTCCATCTCGCATCGACTATGATCTCTCCAACCCTAGTCTCACCCAACTATATACCCTTTGATCTCAGTCACTTGATTATTATACCTCAGATGACTGTCACTAGTTAATGGTCCCTCCGACTATCGTTTCCCAACTACAGTCCTTTGACCACACTCACCCACCTACAGTCCTACCAACTAAATGAACAGACCAACATTCTCTTAAGAACATCTCTCATGTTATTGGACTCTTCCAACTCCAATAATGTGATGTGCACTATATGACTATAGTTCCTTTGACCATCATCACTCGACTTCAGTCTCCCCAAGACCTCCATCTCGCATCGACTATGATCCCTCCAACCTTGGTCTCTCCCAAATACATCCCCTTTGACCTCAGTCATTGTTGACCTTATTTTTGTATGAGGTCACCAAGAATTTTCTCAGACTCCAGATCAATCATGATCCCATATCAATTTATCTTCTAGATCAATCTAGACTCTAGGATCCTCTTAGAATCCATACCCTAGGATTCCTCCAGACCAATATAAACCTTATGACCTATCTAGGTGCTAAGATTCTTCTAAACCCCACACCCTATGACTTCTTAGACTCTAGAATCCTCTTAGATTCTAGACCTTAGGTTTCTTCCATACTTCAGGCCCTAGGATCTACCTAGACCTTAGATCAATCTAGACCCTAGAATCAATTCAGATCTTAGATCATTCCAGACTTCAAGTTAGTCCAGACCTTAGAATCAATTCTGATCTTAGATCAACCTATATCCTAAACCAATCTAAATCCCAGATCAATGTAGAATCCTGATCAATCTAGATCTCAATTCAATTCAAACTTCAATTAAATCTCAAAACTTTTTCCAATGCATCCTAAACGTTATTAGGAGTGCAATGGACCCAGATCTAGACCCTAGTTAAGTCTGGTTGACCAAACAGGTCCTTTAGGGCCCAAATAGGCGATTTGAGCCTAATGACCCTTCTTATCCCTCAAATCACCTCCACCAAACTCAAAACATTATTTCAAATCCATTGAGCCCAAACTTAAACCCTAAGTCAACCTGGTTGACCAAATCAACTTAGGTTGACCCAATCAACTTTCAACCCTATTTGCATATGATTAAGATCCATATCAATCTTAAATCTGCTCAAACCTCTCAAGTCACATTCCCTTATGAGTTGGACTTGACTGGACCCTTGACCTAGTCAATAGTTGACTTGGTTAACTAGGTCCATGAATGGTCAAAATTGGCCAATTAAACCTAAGCTAAGTTTATCAAGTCAACTAATAAAGCTTCGTCAAACCACCTTTAAACCTTCTCTAATTCATCTAAACATCAAACCTTAAGCATTAAACCCTCTCCAAACCATCTCAACCAGCTCAAGCATCTCCCATGCCAACTCATCAGTCAAGTTAACTGGTTGACCAGTTAACTCAGTCAACAAATGGCTTATTTGGTTCCAAATGGACAAATCTCTTGGCTTAAGCTAACCCACTCGACTTAAGACCCACATTTCCAACAGTCTAAACATAATCTAGAGGCCTCTAAGACTCCTCGAAATCCCTTATTTAACTTTAATTAGCTCCTAATCTCTCCCATGTGCACAAGAGGACCACTACACCTTTCCACCTAGGTGTACCTTGTCCTTCTTGATTCTTTACTTCTCCGGGCAGGTGGTAGCCATCTAAGAGTGTCTCTAATCAATCCCAGCTGTCAAAAACCATCCAGGGCATTTGAATTGAAGAGGGCAAATGAGGGATCATTCTCACCCTAACCTTCACTCACCATTCTAGCCATCACAAGTCCAGACTTTAGTTCTATTGAGCTTCCCATACCTTCCTCTACACTTCCCTAGTTGAAACCAACCGGTCAAAGCCGCCGACGACCAGTTTCTAGGGCGAGTCTGGGTATTTTTCGTTCAAGGAGCTGTAAGGTTAGATCCATACGTTATCAGCTCATGAAGTCTTCTACAAAATTAAGCGTGGACAAACTACAAGTTTAGAGAATCTTTAAAATCCAAAATCCATCGATAAAATCTCTTGAAAACTCAAACCCTAGCTTAAGACACCTAAATTAAATTAGCTTTTCATTAAGTACTTTACGAGCTATCAAACAACATCCCCATTAATATTGTTCATGAATTCTTGTTGATTTTAAAATTTCATCAATAATGGTTGATTTGATCGAGAGAACGAAGCAATTTTACATTCCTAGGGCATTTATGCAGTCCAATCTAAGTGTATGAAATCTCGGTCGTTGATCAGAAGATTAACGGTTGAGATTTCTTCATACCACACTCCGTTCTACAGCGTGTATGTTTTCTGTTTGTTCGAAACTTCATCTGGCTCGATCACATCCATTCATTCCAAAAGGTGGAGGATCCAATGAAAGAAAAGCGAGCTGACGCGAATAATTGGATGCAACATGATCCCGCTGCCATGTAATCATGCGGCAATGATTGCGCCATCACGCAATTATTGTCGATGATTACCCGCTGTCAGATCCAGCCAATCCTAGCATGTTGCGTGTCTAGTCCACCGCCGCTACGATGTTCTTTCAATTAAAACAATTTTAATTAATTTTAAAACCTTTTTTAAATCAGAAAACTTCAAATAATATTTAAAAAAATATCCAAAATTAACATATAATATATTAAATTGATCATATTTTAATTCTCTTTAATTTTAAATTAAAATCATTTTAAAATTTAAAATACTTTAAATTATCATATGAAATATTCAAGATATTTTTATTTTAATATTTAATTTAATTTAAAGTATTATATTTGAATATCTTAAATAATT